GAATGCCAGCTAATGAACCCTGAAGGATACAGAATTAGAAAATGAACATTTTGTGATCATCAATAAAAATCAAATGGGATTCATCAATGGATGTCCATTCCATTGGGTGGAAGGTTGCCGGGCCACAAGTACAACAATGAGACTCCGTAACTAGTTACAAATAAAAAAGATACCTTTGCAGTCAAGGGATGCAATAGAATACCACAGCAAGGTGATCAATGTAGCATCACCAGTAATGCACCTGGTGGTACCTGAGGAGAAGCTGCTGGCACCCTCTCTCTAGCCAACCTGAAGGACCAGATTCTTCAGCTGCATTGAGTTCCTGATCTGGCTCCAAAGCCCATAGCCAAGGTTTTATTTAATAGAAATGATAAGTGATACCTTTCCCCTCAAATAAACAGCTCTGTCTAACTCCTGCCTGCTGGTAGCCCCATGCTGCCTACCAGAGGGGAAGGTACCTGTGCAAAGCTTCCAGGCAAACAGGTCACCAAAGTTGCACTTGCTGTCACCAGAGAGTGTATGGTCGCTGTGACCCTGGGGTGAAGTCTGTAGTTCAGGCTGGGAGGCTGGCCCTCTGCCAAGTGGAAATATAGCCACCTGGAACTTAAAATCCTCCTGTCTGAAAGACTATGGAACTCAAAGTCTGTTCAACACGGCTCCCAAGGACTGTGCAATCCGTCAGCGGAGACTGTACTCCCAGCCCCTTGAAAATGGAAAGAGGGGATGGGGGTGCAGCCCGGCGGCAGAGCGCTTGCCTGGCATGTGCAAGGTCCTGGGTTCAGTCCCAGCACAACAAAGCAAAAACAAATGAATGAAAATGGAAACAATTTTCCTCCAGCTCTCCCCATATCTCCCTAGAAATTCCTGAAATCCTGGGCAGTCGTGCTTCCCGAACACTCTCTGCATCTTTGCCTGGAAGGCCCTGTTCCTCCCTGTCTTCCGGGCTCCACTGCCGCTTCCCAGGCATCTGCAGCTTCCTCAGGTAGTTGAGGCCCCTTCTCCCAAGCTCCCACTGTCCAACAGCCTCCCTCCAAAGAACACAGGTTCCACAGCCAACTCCACGTCTTTTTTTTTTTCTTTAATATTTTTAAAGTTGTAGATAGACACAACGTTTTCATTTCATTTATTTATATGTGGTGCTGAGAATCAAACCCAGGGCCTCACACATGCCAGGCAAGCGCTCTACCATCCCCAAGTCCCACAACCCCATCCCCAAGTCCGCGTCTTAATCACTTTGTCAGACACACTTGCTCGATAAATGTATAATGCATGGATTAATTGAAGAATGAATTATTATTTAGAGACAAATCTCACTGCCTTGATTCTACAGTTACCACCCTCAGATGAGGTTGGAAGAGCACAGAAGGAATGTTATTGTTTTAATCACAATAGCATGGTAGTGAGTCTCAGTCCCTGGGGAGGGGAGGCTCGAACACTGAGCTGCACAAGGCCCTAGATAAGTAGACAGAGGAGGGGTCTGGATGCTGCAGGAGCCAAAGACCAGGAGGAAATTCTCCCTTCCCCATGAGAACTTGGGTCAGAACTTCAATCTCCATGCTAAATTAACAACCCAAAGTATTTGCGAAAATTAGACTCGTCTTTGAAATAATCTATCTGTGGGAGAGAGATGTGTTTCCGAAACAGCTGTAAAGCACATGATATTTTTCCCATTTACTTACAACATTAAATTGAAAATTGGTTCCCAAGAGGATTTTTTTTACCACTTCTCCAAACCAAATAAAATAGCATACCAGAATGTAGAAAACCTATTAAAATTACCTATTAGAGGAAAAAAGAGTGACACTATTCTGATAACATCAGCACCATCGCCCAAAGGCAAAAAATAAAAATACATTATGAAGGTAGAGGCCTTTCCCATAAATACAGGCTAATCCAGGAAGAAAATTCACTTCTGATTTCAAAAGGGTGCCTTCCATCTCAGTGCAGAGCTCTCCCACTGGGAGTTTCTGTGTTACTTTGGAAATTATTTTCAACCTGAGCAATTCTAAACAGGTAAAATGGGGACTGAGCTAAACTAGCAATTAACACAGCTGCCCAGGGTTTAGGTTTAAATGCATTTTTCCCCCCAAGAAATTGCTTGCATTTGGGCCATAAGCTCTGCTCATTATGGCTTATTGTTTATATTTGCCTTCTCATTAAAGCCTGGCTAATTCTGCATCCCATTCAATCTCTCAACGGGAGCTCTCTTTCCCTCTCCTTCTCAAATGTCTCCAGCCCTCGGTCTTCTTCTCCACGGGCCTCTCTTTTCCCTACCTAGCCTCTCCCCATCCTGAGCATCCTGCAGTGGTGTTCCATTTAGAGGCCACATAATGTGGCACTTAATTACACTTGGCCTTGGACTGTTCTGTAATCCATTCATGTAGTACCTTTTCTCCTCTGGCTTTAAGTCCTATGTTTAGACTTTCTGTAAACTTGAAGTACCTTTTGGAGTGCTGAAGGAGGCTTTAGCAAATATTTATGGGTTTAGTATTTGCTCGAAAAGAGGCTTCACTGAATAAAAGAGACTTGTTTGGCTCAGTGTCTGGGCACAGGAGGGCAGACCTGGACTTGAACTCTGTCCAGCACTTTCTACCCGTGACCTGGAGCCATTTCCCTCTCTCTTCCCAGTCTGTATTTGGGCATATTGCCTTGCTTCTGGATTCTTTACCTATAAAGTGAGACCATAAAGCAAAGTTTCTCACATGTTTAAATAAATTGGCCATGGAAAGTGCTTAGGAAGCAGCCCTCTTCTGGAAACCACCCAATAGTGTGGGCTGCTGCTGTTATTGTTTGTGATGGTCTGAATATGGGTGTCTGTCCCGATTTTACATGTTGAAACTTAATCCCCAGTGCAATGATGTTAAGAGGAGAGGGTATTTGGGAAATGACCACGTCCCAAGGGCTCCACCTTCGTGAATGGTATCACTGCCCTTGTAAAAGAAGTCAAAGGGAACATGTTTGCCCTCCTGCCATGAGGGCACTGTCTTCCTCCAGCTTCTACATGGGAGGATACAGCGAGAGGTGCTGCCTGTCAAGCAGAGAGCAAGCCTTGGCCAGACACTGAAATCTGTTGGTGCCTTGATCCTGCACTTCTCAGCCTCCCTCCCGAGCTATGAGACATAAATTTCTATTATTTATAGATGGTCCACTATAAGGTAATTTGTTATGGAAGCCCAAAGGGAGTAAGACATTTTCATTATTGAACTACTTCTGCATTCTCATTCCTAGAGTAGAACTATATATATACAAAAAAAATTTTTAAACTAATTCTCAAGAGACACCATCTAGCTGGCTGCCATAAGTTATGCTGGTTGGTTATCACGTATGAAATATCCCGTCCATCTCAGTGAAACAGATGAACCCCTCAGCTGGTTCTACATCTGTGAGTCCAGCTCAGCTCCTGGCAGTGGGTGGGTAATTAGTAGGACATGAGCCCAGTGTGGTGGGACCTGACCTTTCACTTGCATCTCTGTGCCACCCCAGCCAGGGCACCTATGCCCCTGTGCATACTTATCTCTACAAGACTCTGGAGGCTTACAGAAGAGACTGGATGAACCAGGCAGCACGGTGTGGTTGCTGCTTTTGTTTGAGGAGAAGGCACAGTCAAATCCAGCATTCACAGCCCATGTTTTGCTTTATCCAGAAACACAAAGAACGACACTTAAACATCTGAAAACTGTCCAGGCATTCTTGCCTTATAGCAAGTCCTACAGTGTTGCCTGTAAACCCCATAATCAAACTCTGATTATTCACCTGTAGGTCTACATTACTGCCAACAGCAGAAGCTTTGGGAATGGAGGAAAAGGTGAGGACATGCAGGCAATATTTAGCCTATAGGCCTCCTGCTAGATGCTCTCTTTCCACCTACCAGGCCTATGGTCATTTCCTCTTAAACTGCATATTCCCTGTCCACAGCACTTGGCTTTGACCATGCAGGAGCCATAGTGAAAAAGAGGGAGAAATAGGAGTGAGCCTGTGACATTGCGAATGTTCTCAAAGCCAAGCTCATGGTCCCCAAGGAGCCCCACTTCCTCTGGGCAGAGAGCCGGGGTCAGAGGGGCTGTTATGGTTTGGATCTGGAATGTCCCTCCAAAGCTCATGTGTTGAAGGCTCGGTCCCCAGGGCAATGTCCAGAGATGGGGCTTTTAGGAAATGACTGAAGCATGAGGGCTCTGACCTCATGAGTGGATTAATCCATTTGATGGATTAATCATTTGAATGGACTACGGGGAGGTGGTGGAAACTAGGCAGGTGGGGCACGGTTGCAGAAGGTAGGTCGCTGAGGGTGTGACTTTGAAGGTTGTATCTTGTCCCCAACCCCTTCCATTTTCTCTCTCTGCTTCTTAGCTGCCGTGAGCTGAGCAGCTCCCCCCACCCCCACCTCCCCCAGTGCAAGGATGCAACCAGAATGGTGTGCAGAAAATGAAGAGCTTCTCTAAAACACAAAAGACAAAGCGGGGCCTGGGTCTATGAGGAATTTCACCTAATTCACAATTCCTTCTTGACTGTTGGCTACAGTAGTTCTGTCCCATGAGGTCATCCAGAAGCAGCTATGGTCTCTCTCCTTGTAATACCTCAAGATCTTTTGCTTGATTTCCCTGCATTCTTATCTGAGAGCAGTAATGTAGACCTACAGGTGTAGAAATATGCTTATTTTCCAAAGGAAAAAAAAAAGTGAGGATGTTTTCCAAAGTAAACTGTTTCTAGAACTTTCTCTCCTTCCTTTTTATTTCTTTAGTTTTTTTTTTCAGTTGTAGATGGACACAATACCTTTTATTTATTTTTATTTACATGGTGGCTGTAACTTTATATGACATTTACTACTATTCAGGAATTGGGGTATACTGACCAGTCTTCTGAGACGTGTGTTAACTTGAGTCTGCAGGGCTCTAGATGCTGATGATTCCAGGCTAATGCTACGGGCCCAGCCCCCACCCTGCCTTGGCATCACCTTGACCTTCTCTCACCACAAGTGCTGCTCCTGGACCACCATGCCTTACCTGTGACATGGAGCTTTTCATCGGTGACCTCTGCCTTCAGGTAAATCCGCCCCCTCTTCTCTGTGTGATCCATCCCACAGAGGCTGGGGACGTTGATCACACACTGCTTGTGGACGTTCATGTCGCAGGCTGTGAATCAAGAAAGCAAAGGGTAAGGCTGGCCATATGGCTCACATGGCTTCCTCTATGTTTTGGTGTCTGAGCAGAAGTGGGAAGGAGCTACCCCTGACTCGATACTTCGCTATAATGTTGTTGGTGACATGAAGAACTGTTAGCAGATGTCCTTTCCGGTATGGGCTTTGTGTGAGTGACAATATCCTTAAAATACCCATTCCATATTTACTCAGACTTCACAGAAGCAAAATACCCCAGCCTGGTGTTCTGTGACGGCTCCAAACGTTTAACAAAATCCACGCAGGTGAGTGTGCCCAGAGCTCAGGCTAATTAATACCTTATGTACACACAGGCATATAATATGCAAATTTTAAATAGAGGATACTTTTTGCCAAAGAATTCCTTCTGCCTTTCTGAGCTCCACACTGAGAAAGTGACAATCTGTGGGTTGAGGACGGGAAATTCGGAAATTTCTCTTTTCCTCAAGTAACCTTCTACGTTAAAGAAGGTGTATGTATGTTGTCTTTGTGGGTTTTTTTCTTTCTTCTTTTTTTTCCAAGAAATTGTGTTTGATATTTTAAACCTGTCTTCAAATATTTAAATATTATTCCAAGTACAACAAATACACTCCTGGCATAAGCCACACAGCTGACATGATGTGGGTGAGACAGGGGGAGGATAAAAGGAGATCAGTCTTATGGCAATGAACTAAAGAGGCCCTGAAAAAACCCCAGTGCACCAGCTACCGCTGTGAGGCTGGGGAGGTGGTCCAGCTGTCTGCCCTGGTGCCTTCCTGCCGAGGTTAGGGGTGGCACTGGATCCCTCGCAACTCCCCTAGGGAAGACAGTGAGACTGTGCTGTAGCCTCCAAGGTGGGGCCCCCCAAGCCCTTTCCTATCCAGTGTTTAATTTTAACATGCAAATCAAACTGAGGCAAAGCGTCATGAATAATGCATATTTGCTATGATTAAACACGGAAATCAGAATAAGGGACACAACGAGGAAAGAACAATTAGTTGATTCACGAGAGCGGATTCTGTGAGGCTTCTATTTCCGAAGCTAACTCTTCCAGATCCTGTGCCTGCGCCCAGCCAATACACAGGCTCTTGAAAAGTCATGTTATTAATATAACTTGAGTTGACAACGTCATATGTTCAAGTGCCTGGGCAGAAGTGGCAATTTAAAGAAAATAAACGAGAGAGGCTTTGGAAAGAATATGGGCAGCAGGGAGGGTGTGCAAGGGGAAAGTGCATGGGTGTGTTCCTGTCTTGGCTCTACCTTGAACTGGCTTTTCTTCTCTTTCTTTCTTTTCTTTTCTTTCTTTCTTTTTGGTATTGGGGATTGAACCCAGGGGTACTTTATCACTCAGCCCTTTTTATGTTTTTATTTTGAGACAGAGACTCACTCAGTTGCTTAGGGTCTTACTAAGTTGCTGAGGCTGGCCTTCTTGAATTTGTGATCCTCCTGCCTCAACCTCCCCAATTGCTGGGATTACAGGTGTGTGCCAACACACCAGGCTCAAACTGGCTTTTCTACCTTGTGAAGTTTATTTGCTGTCTCTCATTCCATTCCCTACTCAGCAAACAAAGAAGTTGGTCTAGATGAGTGGTAGCTAACTTTCCCCACCAGTGGACCTGGACACAGGACTATACGGTACGAGGAGCAGGAGCAAGGGTCCGGGCGTGGGGAGAGACTGAGTCTGCAGAAGTCAAGGGAGGGGCTGGGTCGTGGTGCCCACCTCCTCCTTCTTCTCCCTCCAGGAAGGATCCCCAGAAACTCTGCAAGTCCAGGGGAAAGGGTTTAAAGCAAAACAAAGAAGCACCGATCCGGGTCAGTGGTTTCCAGTTATTTTTTAGTAATGGAATGTGTTTTTCAAGCAAAATCTAAAGCTGAATCCTAACAAGTATACCAGATGGGTGCTATTAGCAGACATGCAGTAAATAAATTCTAATTTATACCACTTACTTGTTATAAAGACATTCAAGGATAACCAATAAAGCCCTTTTATCCAAACAAAACCCTAAAACCAGCTGTTGGGAATACTGGGTGATGCCGCTATAGTTTGAATGTGTCCCCAAAAGTTCATATGTTGGACATGTCACCCCCAGAGTCATCTTAATGATGACTCAATGTTCAAGAGAGAATCAGTAGCTGAAGTTATGAGGGTGGGGCCCCCAGAATGCATTAGTGGCTGCATAAGACGGGGAGAGAGATCTGAGCTAGCAGCTTGCTCTGTCTCTCCACAGGAGCCTTCTACCAAGCTGTGACGCAGCAAGAGGCAGGCCCCTCATCAGATGCTGAGCTGATGCTGCCACCAAGCTCTTGGGTGTCCTGGCCTCCAGACGCAGGAGCCAAATAAGCCTCTATTCTTTGTAAATGACCAGTCTCAGGTATTTTGTTTTAGCAACAGAAAATGGACTAGGGAGTATCTCAGAGAGACCTCAACATGACATTTCTGTATTTAATCAAAGTTGTACAGCACCTATAAACCCTCATTCATACAGAAGAGAACATGTACATGGGAAAGTGCTGGGTGGCACGCCATGCCAACCCTTAGACTCTTCAGCTGATTGCCAAGTTCCGTCCCATGAATGAGGTCATCAACACAAGCTCTCCAGTGTCTCTCTGTTTATTTTTGTTCCAAGTTTTAAAATAGTTAAACATATATTTATAAATGCACTTAGAATTACTGCTTGCAAAATCCTTCAAAACCATCTTTGGAATCCTAGAGTTTTTTTCTCCTAATTTTTTTTAGGTGTAGATGGACACAATATCTTTATTTCATTTATTTATTTTTATGTGGTGCTGAAGATCAAACCCAGTGCCTCATACATGCTAGGCAAGGGCTACCACTGAGCCACAACCAAAGCCCAAACCTAGCAATTCTTGAAGCATGGAAGGCCTCTGGTCTGGATGATCACAGAACCTTCATTAGGCTGTTAAATTGGACCACTTCAGAAAGCAAATACCTCCCACCCCACATTCCATGTACTCTATAGTGTTCTGAATATTTTTTTTTTTTAATATTGTGTTTGCTCCATGTGGGATACAAATACAAAACTTTGGGCCATTACAGTGGTCATTAGCAAATGAGAATGTGCTGAAATTTCCATAACATTTGCCTATTAGAAAAATGGAACTCATAATTGCCTTTTTATGTCCTAAAAGCATTAACTTTTATTTAAACAAACATCCTGGGGAATCTCATAATTTAAAAATCATCAAAGCAAAGAGTTTCCATAGCTGTTCTTCTTTCCTCCTGGTATTTGACAGAGAACTATCCGAGACCAGAGAGGAGAAGGGCCTGGGATCTGTCTTCTCCGTCAGTGGCGCTCAATGATTTTATCTTGAACTGGACTGATATAAATTTGATCTGTTCATAAACAGGCAGGGTGAGTGAACTTAAGAGAGATGCTATCTTGGTTTTTATGTTCATTCTGGCTTCGGTTTTAAGGAGAGCCTACTGGATTTTTCCATCGTCCACCCACTAATTAGAGACAGAGGAAGATAATGACTGTGGTTGCTTAGCTTATTTTGAAGCCTACCCAAAAGTGGAATCTGGAGGTGGGGAGCCTTCTTTGGGGTTTGACTGGCCTGCATTTTACAAGGACTGAAGACTTCTATTCCTTTAAAAAAAGAAAAAGAGGTGACAGCACCTACTAACTTCATTTATAAACCAAGTGCACTTTTTTTTTTTTTTTTTGGTTCATAATTAGGCAAATAAGTAGAACTTGGACAGTGGCGAGCTTCTACACATTTCCAGCCAGCTCTTTATATGAACTAATTCTCCTTATTGACGAGCTGGCACTGAGAAGTTACTGGACCTCCCGTGCTCAGTAAACTTTGGGTACGAGCCACAGCATCTCACCATCTACTGGAAAAGAAAAACTTACTTACTGTCACATTTCATCCCTTGGTGGATAAGTCCATACAGCAGCGAACCACAGTGATCACAGAAGGTGGGGCTCCCATAAGTGTGGATTTTAAACTTGTGCTTGCTCCTGGGGTCCTGCGGAGAGAAGAAGCACACCATCAATCCTTTCTAGCACAACAGACGAGGTGCCATTCTCTGGAGTTACACAACGGGTGGTGGTGGCATTTTGCCGCATCATGTTTTAATGTAACAATTACCATGTTTTCAGGGTACGATTTGTACTCACCAAGGTTTTCCCCCCAAATTATGGCTTCCACTTAGTGTTATCAAAGACCGTAGGGCAAGTGCACTGGTTTAAAGAATTCGGTATGTCTGTCTCCATAGCACCTAGCACAGGCTAAGGTACAGCACAGACCCTTAACAGGGTGTGTTTGTGAAATGGAACCAAAGGGCCCTTCAGGAAATCTCCTGTATGAGGTTTCCATAAAAACATCACCCTGTGAACCAGGTACATGCTATAACCAATGGGGACCTCTTCCTGCTTGGACACCATCTCTCCACAGTTTACACACATCTGCATGGGGGAACTCCAATGGGGTACGGAGAGCCCTGGAAATGCACTGAGATGACCTGTCCCTAGGGCCACTGCATTTTACTCCCTCCTACCACGGGAAGTGGTTCAAGAGGGCTCTGCTCTTTCCAGAGGTATGGCTGTGGTCAAGTCACTTGTGGTCAATCCCCCTTATCTGCCTACTGGGGGATTAACAGCACCTATTTTCTCCAGGGTTGTTATGAAGACAAAAGAAACCAATCTGCATAAGATGCTTGGAAGACTGCCTCAGGCCTGGGGAGAGCCATGCGCCTAGAACAGGTGAGCTTCAGGCCTCATCGGAAGAAGTTTCCATTTACTAACGTGTGAAAGAAGAGGCCGAGCAGAAAGAAATTTATGCTCTATTTGAACTACAAACCAATTCCATATTCAACATGCACCTTTGGGACCCGCTCATTAACTCTCTAAATGCTTCCTCCCCAGTCTCTCTTTGTGGATTGAGGCGCTCTACAGACAGCACTGGCACCCACTGAATTAAGACTGCAGAGGGCAGGGTTTGGGACAGAGCAGATCAAGAGCTTCTTTTTACACATGACAAGGTCAATTTCTTCTTTAATACACAGAGACATGAAGAAGGACATTCTTGGCTTTCGACTTTCTAAGGATCGCCAAGCTACTAAAATTCCAAAGGCGATTTCAGGGTAAGCCTAGTATGTGTCAATGGGTGATTAAGATTCCTTTTTAAAGACATAGATTGGAAAATCCTGGAAGACATCATTGTGCAGAAAAGCCTAAAGAATACCAAACCACACAGGGATGCACACCTAGATGTGATCAAAGCGAGTACTTGGGGCTGGGGTGGTGGCTCAGCAGTAGAGCACTCGTCTAGCACATGTGAGGCACTGGGTTCCATCCTCAGCATATAACATATGAATAAATAAATAAATAAATAAAATAAAGGTATTAAAAAAGTGAGTGCTTTTCCCCTATTTTTCTCTGCATAATTATTACCCTCATTTTACAGAGAGATTAATTACTGTTAAAAAGTCACACGGCTCATGAATTTCAGAGATAGGGTTTGACCACCATCTGACCGTCGTCCTAAAAATATTCAACAATGAGAATCTGGCACTTTTTTTTTTTTAATTTGCAACACATTTAAAAAAATAAGTTTACCATTCATTTTTATAAGTAATATTTTACTGGAACACAGCCATGCTCATTTAGTTACATATTTTCTATGGTTAAGATGGCAGAGTAGTTACAACAGAGACTGTACCAGCCACAGATTCTAAAATATCTGCTGTCTGGCTTTTTCAGGAAGCTTGTCAATCCCAGCTTTAAGACGATGGTTTTGACATGCCTGCTGACCTCAGCCCCGGCACAAATTCTAGCCCAGCATCCCATCTCCTGGAACTTGTTAGAAATGCAAATTACTTACCTTCTCCCCAGAACAACTGAATCAGAAGCTTCAGGGGAGGGCTGGTCTGTGCTTTGGCAGGCACCACAGGTGATGCTGAGGCTCAAAGTCGTGCTAAAGACTGAGAACCAGCACTTAGAAGGTCATTCGACAGATATTTAGCAAGTGCCTCACAGGTACTAGCTGAATACATGTGTAAATGATTAACAATATTCGTGAAGCAGGTCACTAGTTTACCTTCTAAATGGCTCTTCAATATATATATATTACACACACACACACACATATATATATATGTGTATATATATATATATATATATATATGTGTATATATATATATATATATATCAACATCCTCCTTCAGAGGTTATTTTTCCTAGGCAAGTGGTAGCTGTGAATACAGCCCTAGTTCCCACCATTAAAGATACCCCCCAGTTTCCCAGGACACAAGCAGAATGTTGAAGGAACAGTCTAGTGTCAGCGCCAATTAGTGGTACCCAAGGTGACGGTCGAGGTTGTGTCCTCCATTGTGGAAGGCAAAGAGGAGGCTGAGGGAGTGGGAGAGCCACTCCCCACAGAAACAAGCATCAACAAGTGGTGGGGAATGAAGGGTGGCAGCTCACACAGAGCCCTCTGCAGTATGTGTGTGCCGGTAGCTCCAGGGTGGTCGTCCTGCCAGTGGACTGTCACAAAGATTCTCTCGTGGCTCCTGGAGAGGCACGCAGGCAATGTGCTTCACTTTTCAAGAAAACCTAAATCCTCCTCATCTGACACCCACATGGCATCTTTGGGCTCTAATGGTTGGGAGGTATAGGAAGAGAGAAAACCTTGGCTTCCACCTGAGCCACCAAGTCCCGGAGTCCTTCCCGCTTTGAGTGTGGCATGAATTACAACAGTGACTGCCACCATGCGCTGGGGGGCCCTCCAGTGTGAGCAGGTACTTTCCAACAGCCGAGGTCTCTGTTTGGAATGAGAGTCTCTTCTAAAGAGGATATGTACCAGGATTCTGACTCCAGCCCTGGCACAAGTTCTGCGACCTTGGAAAAGTCTCCTTGCATATGCATAGAGCCAAAGTGAAACTGATCCACCTGTGTCATGGGCTGACGGTGAGGCTCAATGGAGGGAACACAGGAGGAAGGTTTTGCAAAATTTCTGGACAAATAAAGAGATCATTATTATATTGGATGTAAACTTCGAGGTGCCCAATGTCTGCCCAAAGTATTTTGTGACTTGGGCTTGAAGGGAAGGAAGAGGAAAGCAAGCCAGTGTCAGTTCTCACGGGTGGTCAGAGCGGAGGCTGAGCAGGCAGGAGCCAGGGGACTTCTTGGGTCCCGTGTTCCCCTTCCCTCCACCCTGTGCCTGGGCTTCTGAGGAAGTCTGCTTGGCAATCGTCCCGAGTGGTAAATTGTGAACTGCCTCCAGCCCAGACTGCCCCATGCCCTGTCTCAACCATGAGAATGACTCCATCTCCCGCACCACAGGCGTGGAAGGCAGGACCATGGAAACTCTTCTCCAACCTAATTAATCGCACCTCATCGGACAAAAGAAACCACAGAGCTGGCTCGAGAGCTATGACTCACGCCACTCTGCAGAGACCAACTGGAACTGCAAACCTCCCAGGTTCTCTGTGTTCCATCTAACAGATGCCAAAGAAGTGACTCCTTTTACTTCTTTGGTCCCTGAAGGGGTGGGCTGGGAATGGTGTTTTAAAAATGGGATTTCGCAGAGCCCTTTGGATGTCAGGAGGAGCCTGGAGTTGCTGAGGGTGGGGATGGAAGAGTTGGGCAAGACAGGGAGACTGCTGCTAAAATTAAATTTGAAAACAACTACACTAGATAGCTTCCTAGATTCTGTCTTGCTATTTAAAAAAAAAAAAACACAACTTTTTATTTTGAAATCATTTAAGACTCAAAAGAATTTGCAAACGGAGGACAGCCTGTTCCTGTGTACTCTTCACCCAGCTTTCCCAGTGAGAACATCTTACATAACCAGCCCAGCAGCGGAACTAGGACGCTGTCCCTGCTACAGCATCATCCACCGAACCGCAGGCGCAGGGTTCCACCAGGTTCCTCCAGGTTTTACATAATTCCAAAGCAAGGACTTCTATCGCACAGCTTATGAGTTAGATGTACTGTGTGCTGGGCAGGGTAAATACTGCAAACTCAAGTAGAACATACCAAAGGAACGTCTGCTACTTGTTCATGAAATATGTAACCTGCTAGATCTCACGTGGAGGGGCAGGACCATGGAAACTCAACGGAGTTTGAAGATCTGTCTGCAAAGTGGAATCAGAATCTAAGGAAATATGTGCCGTTTCTGAACCATTATGGCCAGTTTTCCAGAACTATCATTTTGAGAGCTCTGTCCAGTGCACATCCAGCCAGGTCATGAGAGGCTGAAATGTGGGTTTCCAGGTGAGGCTGGACCTGGATGGAAAGATAGGCAAATGGCAGAACCCCTAGGCTGATCTGTCCCCTGTGGGCCTGAGAGTCACCTACAAAGACCCCTGTGGTGTTCCAGGGAGCCTGTGTGGAGAGGAGCAGAGAGCTAGAGAAATGGAATCTCAAGTCACTTGGGTTCTGAGCAGGGGGTCTTTCTTAACATCTATAAACGGTCATTCAGTGGGGCACCAGCTTCTCCCCTACGCCTTCACTATGACAAAGGTTTCCACCTGCCACCACATGTGGAGGCGTCACTTCCCAGAGCACCTCAGGGGGCAGTAAGGAAGGCTCCCACCTGCTCCAGGAAACCTCTCTAGACATCAGAGCCAAATGCCCTGTTCCTCCCACTGTCTGACCTTCCAGAGCAAATCATTTGTCTTTCATAGGCCACTTATCACATTCTGCCACCTATGATGATTAGGAGCACGACACCTTTCATTTTCCCATCTCTCTCTCATGTCCACATGGACACAGCAGTCTAACGGAGAGGCCCTAATGGGCATGGCTGAATTAGCACTGTGTCTGAACCAGGAATGAACATTAAGTTTTGAGTATGAACTTTATCTCTAAGCTCCCTGGAAACCAAACCAAGAAGGGAAAAGAAATGCAGGAGATTCCCCTGGGACTGCAAAGCTACCCGAGAACAGAAATCTTTCCTGGAGTCCTCAAACACAATTTTATCTCTTGCAGGTTGGACCTTTACCAAACATGCATGAAGGGAATT